CACAACAGACATGAATTTCAGAAACAACAGAACGGAGAACTGGCGAGACAATTCGCACTTTATTTCAGCATCGTTTGATACGTCGTTTTACGGTGTATTAATTTTCTACGCTTTTATTTATCCGCTGGCAAATAAAATAGCAAATAAAAGTAGCAAATTATTACACGGCTATTCGGATAATATTAAGTGCGGACTCTGTCGTAAAACTTAAATAAAAATTAATTCAAAGCAAGTGTAGACATTGAGTTTTATTACAATGCAGTTCCAAGTGGTTTTTATTTTTACAGAATTTTAATACGAAAATGGCATTTAATTTTTAAAAGTTGCAAAGCTACGAAAGTAAAGAAATTGGCAATCCAAGTATAGATTTTTTGCTGACGAAAAATTATTTCAAAACTTAGGAAAAGATACCTTTTACAGAAAGTTCACAAAATTTTTTTGAGATATTTATACATTTACACTGTATATAATATTAAGTTGTGAAGAGGTTTATGAAATTTTCTTTAAAGAAAAATCGAGTAAATCATCTTCTTTCTGGAAAAAGTATATCATTCGCCATATTCTGCATGTTATATTGTAATTTTGGTGGGACCATTTAGCGACACACACGACAAAAATTTTATCATCACCGTTAACATCATTTAATAAAGTTAGCTGGAGCAAATTATAAATATTGCCGGGTAAAAGAAGGACGAAATTGACATCGCAGATCATTTCGAAGGGTTAAAGAGTTTTAAAAAGAAAAGTCAGCGAAGGTAACGGAAGAAAGAAGGGTCTGGAAAAAAAGAAACGCGTTGCCGCAGCGACGACGCCGTCTGCAATTACAATGCCTTAATTTTATGCGCGAAGTTAAGTTCCTTTTAAGAGTCCCGAGAGTGGTTAAGTCTCCCTTACATCCCATCTCTGTCCTTCTCTACGCTACATTCGTTTTGCCAACGTATTCATGAGAGACTTTCTTTTAGACTAGCGATGGCGACACAGCTTCCGGATGGGACTTGGCGATTGTTTTAATTTGTTTAGAGGCCATCTACCACACTTCTTCCTCGTTCTATTTCCTCTATTTCTCCATCTACCTTTCTATTTTATTTTTCTTTTAATTTCTATATATTTGGTATCGATTTTTTTTAATTATTCGTTCTCATTTAGAGATTTAACATTATTAATTTGAATCGGAAACTCTAGCTACATTAACAGCATTAACATTAAGGATAAATATTAAATAAATATTAATAATATAATATGATATTAATATTTAATTATTATTATAATATTAATATTTAAAATAGATATTACAAACAAATATTATACTTTATACAATAATAATATATATTAATAATATTATAATAATAAATATAAATATCATGCATTAACGTAGAGAAATATTGTATCAAAGATGAAACTCAAAAACAGAAAAAGAAAATTTTTATTATAGGACTCATTTTGCTAGATAGTTGTACAATATTTACATTTTTTTCTTTATAAAACAGGCTGTTACAATTGGAAGAAAATAATATTAAAACTTTATTATTTTTTTAAATATTTGCACATTATTTTAAAAATTAAAATAAAAATATTTTAATATATTTTTTATATGATAGATGTTTTAATTTATATGAGAGGTACGTGCACGCGCGTGTGTATGTGAATGTCGTGTATATACATGCATGGGCGTGCACAGATCACATTCAACATAGACGGACTTTTGAAAGATTAAAAAGGAAAGAGGTGAAAGACGTTTTTTTTATGTTCGTTTCTAGAAATAATTAATCTGTCTTGTGACTCTCGCGCAATAAAAGCGCACGACAGTAAAAAAAGTTTTATCAAAGTGCAGTGGATTGTAGGCGGACAAAATTAATAATTCAGTTTTGACAACGTAGAAACGCATGGAGCATGTCATGGAAAAATTTTCACAATCGAAATACATAACAGAATTTATGCGATTATGATCGTAACGTGTTTTATATTGCATGCAGTTACTGTTTGCAACGGCAATAATGAATAGCTGACAGTATTAATTAAAACTTCACTGAATGATAATCATTTGAAAAATGTCTGTACCATATTCTGAAATGCGACAAATTTCGGGATATTATAATTACAATCATTTTCGTATTATGCTATGTTAATCAGTAAAATCCCCCGACGTATTAATTTACATTATATTCGTGTAAAAAGTATATTCTCTGTTTCATAATGCATGTACAATTTACATGCAGCAATTTATGCAGATTGTACGATTTTTCTTTAACTTTTTATTTTATGTGACAACAAATCTGTTAATAAAATGGATTTATTTTTATAAAATATCACATTTTATATTATTCTCAGTAATTTTTGTTATCTTTTTAAATATATAATCCAAAATTTTATCTCTGCGTCCATGTATTTAATTGTAAATGTATTATATTTATATTTTTCCATACACTTTATGAGAGAGAGAGAGAAAGAGAGTTGATAAAATATAGTGACATAAACTAAACTATTTCATTAAATAAAAGAACAAATATTCTATTAACTTAATATTATATAAGTATATTAATTATTATCAAATAAAATGTAAATTTATAATTTTATATGTAGGTATGTATAACAAACGTGAGAACTAGATGTATATTTGTATAGTAAATATTTATCCGCATATATGAATAGATATATATAATTTCGAAATTAATATCTAATTTTATTTTATTCTATTTCATACTGTACCTATTTTACATAAATAAATATAGAATCTCTAATTTACTTATAAATTTACGTCGTTAATAATAATTCTTTTATAATATTAATTTAATAGAATAGTTATATATATATAAGGTACACGTATATAGTGTTTATATAAAACATATATTTTAAAATATAAAATCATTTTTGTAACTATACGCATACAAAATACAAAAAAAAAACATTTATGAAAGCCAGATAACTATTTTTTTGCAAAAATAATGTCACAACAAAGAGTTAAATGTGTTATAACCTGCGTTCTCTATTCAAAGCGGAATGATTCAATACAACTATACGCAGTGTCGCGCTTTTCAACGTCGTTCCGCCAGCAGCATTCGCCCTCACGCTTAATTATCCGCGCGACACAACGTGGCCGACTTTCGCAAATAAAATTTTCCACGAGGGATTTACTCGCCCGGCCTCGGAGAGAACAGCCGTTCGTCGCAATTAGACCTTTTTACCGTCGACGTGTGTTCACGGACCCCTTAAATTTCACGTAGACTTCGCGTAAATCACAGAGAGAAGCTCGACAAGCAAGTTGATACCGAGTCGCGCTACGTTGTGTCGGTGAATTTGAGCTGGTCGAGCCTGAAGCTCGACCAATCATTGTGCTCATTAAAAACCAATCTAATTTATCTCGGCAACCGCGAGAACGAAAATGAGCCGGGTGAGAGCGATTCGGAGAAGCGAAACTCGGTCCTTCTCACGACACAGACGCGATTGACGGCGCGAATGCCTTATCGCGCCAACTTCGTCGTCATTCTGCTCCTTGATTAGACTTATGAACTTACGTTCAAGCGCATTCGGTCCGGGCCAATGATAATTGACGGTACGGTGGATGCGGCATCTGTGTTACAGATCTTCGTGGAAACTGAGAATATCTCTGATTTGTGGAATAAGAAAAAACTTTCCCATTGTAAACATTTTTCTAAACGAATTATTATATTTGTATTTTGAAAGTGTTATAGATTGGTGATATATAAATTATTCTCGAAAAAAAAAATTAAATAATGATATATTAATTATTATTATTATACAAAAGCTTTCGTAGGAAAAGGAGAGCAGATTTGAAGACACAGAATAAATAAATTGAACGTAGAAATAAATTCATCATTGTCCATAGATCATCCAGTAAAACATACAATATCGTTGTATAATGTGATATATTAATGATGATATGTGGTAATATAATAATATATTAATTATTATTATATAAAAGCTTTCGTAGGAAAAAAAGAGCAGATTTGAAGATACAGAATAAATAAATTGAACGTAGAAATAAATTCATCATTGTCCATAGATCATCCAGTAAAACATACGATATCGTTGTATAATGTGACCTTTTATTTTAGCAAGACCTAAAACCGCCTCCGCGGTTCAAAGCTCCGACCTGAGAAGTAAAAGGTTATCTGACTCTCTCGGTCGAGTGCACTTCTCCTGTATTGGGTCTTCTCGAGTCCGGGCGACTTTAAGAGGGATGGGCGAGAATCGTCCCCCTTTACCTCTTACGCTTCTCGCGAGCTCCTCTCGACTATGACGAATTGCAAAAGTTGGGTGAAAAATTGGCCGAAGCCAGATAAGAGCGGCCGGAGTGTATTGTGCGTCGTACTTTTGTCGTCAGCCATTCGTTCCTCCGGTTACTTTCATCCCCCTGGCCGACTTAACCCGCATTATTTAGCCCTCCGGGCAAGGAAAGATTTTCAAATAACTCGTCTGTTATTCCGAAGGGGAAAGTTTTCGTCTGGCTGACAGATGCGAATATCGTGCAGCGGACGGCACGGGTTGCGCGACTTGGCGCCGCGATTTGCGACACGCGAAACCGCGGTATTTAACTCCGCGAGCGGACATATTTTGCGGCGGTAATCCCGTGATTTGTATGCGCGGCCCGAGGACACTCTGCGAAGCTCGAGGCCGAGCCAGACGAAGTATATCAGTCGCAAACAGACTTCTCACTGTAAATGCAGTGTACTCTGTGTGATAAGAACTCCGCTTTGGAGTCTTTTGCCGTTGCACATTAAATCAACAGCGTAAATCTTTTATAATGCTTTGCTTTGAGAAGTTGACGCTTTGTGCCGAGAATAAAACTTACTATCTCAATGTATATATCATCTTCTTTTTTCTAAAACGATACCTCCCAGCAATTCTGAAATTTTTTATAAATCGTATTTTTTTAGTGTAAAAAATAATAGGCTAATATATAAATTAAGTGTGCAATTAAATGTGCAGAATTTTCTTTCGAATTATTTGAACGACACGTTTGTCTGTGATTGTTGTTACAGTTACGATGCGAGAAGTCGACAATTTGGTAAAGCGAAGCTATGGAGCGCTGCGAATTTTTGGGGTCCTCGAGCGATTTTTCGTTCGACCCCGCCAGCACAGCTGACAGTTCAGGATCTTCGGCAGAGTGACGAGGGTGTTTACAGGTGCAGGGTCGACTTCCGGAACTCACCGACAAGAAACTTGAAAGTTAACCTCACCGTTATCGGTAAGTAAACGTCGTCCTTAATCGCCATGGCAAGGTTTCTCGTTAGAGTGACATTCACCCGAAAATGTAGCTTATACCAAAAACCATTCGATTTATCCTACATTATACGTATATTTTTACCACTAATCTGTCAATCTCGAAATTTGCCGTTAAATTCAAGAGGATCATATTGTTTTACTATTTTCGGAACAGAACTTGCGTTGATATCTTTTAAATCGTGATCCAGTTATACATATTTAAAACACTGAAATGCTCAGTCGCGCAGTTTACAATTCTGTTTGCATTCATAATTGCTGTCACAGATATAGAGAGGACAGAAAATACGCATAGACTTTTTCATAGCGATTTGCATTTCGAGAAATTGACGTAGTTGTTTTCATGAGAAAACTTGAATTTTTGGTGCGGAACTAACTCAAGACTCGTTAAATTTCCATTAAATTATGCTGGAATCACTCTTTTTGTACAATTTATCATTTATGTTTCACACGTTTTCTACTGCTAATCTCAAGCGGGCCGCTTGAATTATTATGCCTTTTTGATTGCTTTGACAATTATGAAATGTTTATACTGAATATAATAATGAAATGTTTCAATAGAAACATTAGGTGCATATTTATTATAAAAAAGCTTTGCAAAAAATTGATATTTAGGAAAAGATTACGGTTCAAAAAACTAGCAGAAATTTTCTTATTTACTTTGTACAATTGTTAGTATTCGAAATATGACAATTGTAATGACAATCGCAATTGTTTGCGAAACAGCTATATAACTGTTAATAATATATTATTGTTGCAACTATTCGTTTAAATAAAAACTACCAACGGAATAACTTTTTTGAGCGACGTGATAAATTTCGAGATACTTTCGACCTGGCAATTTTCATTTTGTATGAGAGAGAAAACATTGATCTTTTCATGGAAAACTAGTTGCGAACTCGTTAAATACAAATAGAAAAGAAACGAAGTTTCTATTCCGCATCAATCATTTTCCAAATATACTTCTCAAACTAGTCCACTTCACGGAGATGTAATCGTCGATATCCGAAGATACGATGACACACTCGCGATTGCAGTTTACAACTGTTTGCAGTGGAACAGTCAATTGTGATAGCATCGCGACTATTGGAGAACATACGAAACCCCTACGTACACACGCTCCTATATCTCCTTCTTTTTCCTTTTCTTTCTCTCCCTCGTCACAATATAAATCTGGAGATTTCAACTCATCGGCTCCGTTCTCGTTTTTCGAGAGTGGAAACTTGGGCTTTTCGCGCGGGATCTAGTTCGAGGCTCGTTAAACTTTCGTAAAATTGCGCCCGACCGAGGAAACTCGGCGAAACTGCCCGCCGATACTCGACGTCGATCGTCGCGATTGGACGAATCGGTCCCAAGAATGGTCGTTAATCCGAGATCGGGCGACCACTCGTACAATCAGCCGACCATTGAAAGCGATCCTCTGTAAACGATCGTGCTGAGAGTACCGTCGATTGGCCAGTTTGTCTATAGCTCGATTCCGCTCTTCCGTTGACGCACGGTTGTTAAATCGTCGTCGAGTCGAATCTTCGATAACAAAACTCTTGGATTGTTTGCAAAGTGTTCAATAATTGGAATCGAAAATTTCACGTTTCTTGTAATGCGACACGATCGATTAATCTTGCATTTTTTATCTTCGTAAAAAAATATATATACAAAATGTTGAAAGTTTAAAAAGAGAAAATTACATACTATATATGCACGATTACGACTGTTGTGTAATCATTTATTTAATTGGATAATCAATTTATTTAATTGGATTTTCGATTTATTTTAAGGTGATTTGTTTGCTCGAAACTTTTCGAGAAAAACAAGATTTTATTCGAGAATGTAATTTTATTTATAAATAAAAATTGATACCGCATATTTGAATTAAAACTTTTATTCAGAATCAAACATATAGTGAAAAATTTTAACTAATTATTCAATGAATTAAAAAATCTTTTGAAATATATTTTTAATTTATTGGATAATTAGTTAAAATTTTTCATATGTATATTTTATTCTGAATAAAAGTTTTAATTTAAATATATGGTATCAATTTTTATTTATAAAATTACATTCTCGAATAAAATCTTGTTTTTCGCGTGAAAACATAAAGCTTTTTATTTGTTCTATTTTTGCGCGAACAAAATTTTTATTCAAATAATAGTGAATTGCGCCTATAATGCTATTATAAAATGAAAATATGGGCACAAAATCTGTTATCGACAAAATTTGTTAGAATGTTATTAATGAATATCGGAACAATTATTTTTTAGTAGGTATATACATATGTTATGTTATATTCAAATAAAGCAATTAACGTAATTTTAAGCAAAAGGCTTTTAATTTTCAGTACATTAATCGAGACAGTATTTGTAGTATTACATTTTGTCTCTCTGATAATATATTATATAGATTATATATTTATTTTATATGTATTCTTTATAATGAGAAAGCGATATAAATTTTAAATAACAATGATCTTTTTGCACAGTTAAAATAACAGCGTTGCGCGATGTTATTTCATTTTATGTAAAATAATCGCTATCGCTTTTACAACGCGACTAACTTGACGAAACGGATATCACAATGTAGTAATTAATGCTCGATGCCAAATCGATACGAGATACGCGTCAACCTGTACAGAAAGTTCAATTTCCACTTTATAGAAAGCTATGCAATAGCGTTTCGCGTTTCCATAATGTTGAATAACATTATCCGGTATAGAGGCAAAATCAAACGTAATTACCGTGTGCACGCTTATGCATAAACGCTCTGAAAATATTGGAAATGTTAGAGAAACTTGAATATAAATAATAGGGTATTAATGTTTGAATAATCGCAGGAATCAATATATATGTTGCGTGAACGATAAATATGTTTATCCTATTTTATGCAACATCTAGTTTCCAGATAATTTTACGGATATTTTGAACAAAGTTAAATTACCAACGTATAATTAAAACGAGTCTGACAATTCAGGAAGAATCTGAAATATTCTCATACAAAAGTCTCTCCCTGTTTGCGACGCTCGCAAATTTTGTATTGTTAGTTACAATAATGGCAACGCGTATTTTATTTTATTCTTTTTCAAGTCTTCTAATAAGTGATTTACAACTTTATGTCCCAGTTCAATAACAGTTCCGATCATTAGCGGTGCATATTCTCCGCGCTAATTTTGTGATGCAAAACCGGAAGTTTCAAAACCGGTTTTCTGAGAAACGCCAAAAGTCCAAGATGAGCTCGTCGTTCTTGTCTCTTGATAGAATCGAAGCAATAGCTTGTCGGTCCCCAAGGAAGAGCTCTCCATGTCATGGCGATGAGAAGCTTTCACGAAGTCTCTAACCGAATTTGATTATTGATCGATCATTAAGTTAATTTAATATGTGGCTGCTAATTAGATATTCTGTTGAGATGAGCACCGACGAGATTTTATGTTTTTTTTTTTGTGACAGATATATACATTTTCAATGATTATATAAAGATTAAATAAGATTATTGAATGGAATTTGTTGAGCAATATTAAATAATAAAGGCGCTGTATTGCTATGTAAAAACAATATACTAAAGTGTTTTCATCTGTATTGCCTGTTAGATAATGCTTCTATTTTGAAATTCTTCCACTTTTAATTAAAATAATTTTTATCATTAATAATTCCAACAATATTTTTCGAATTAAATTAAATTGATAAGAATATCTCATATATAGAACATTATTTATTTCGGAATTAGTCATCAATTTATCATCATGTATATCGTTTTATTTAAAAATCCTTTAAAAATGTCTACATTTATAAAATAAATTTATTCTCTTCTTTTTAATTGATCTCATCGCATTCATTGCAATTTTTTCCCATTTATTGAACATTAGAGGCGTAATGCACAAAGTTCAGTTTCCAGTCGAAGAAGAGATTAATCGATCAACTGGAAGCGTATTACGCTAAAAGATTAACCTAGTTTGTCGATTAAATGCGTCGACCAAATGCGCAGACGTGTCAAAGCCAAATTTCAAAGCTGGCCGATCGGCGCTGTTTTCTTTTAATCAGAACTCGGCCGAGCGTCGCGGAACGAGCCGGATCGCGTCGCGCGTCGCTAACTTAAACAATCTGCTCTCTCGCTAGTTCTCTCTCCCGGGTATCTCGTCCCGATGGGGGTTGTCCGTAGAGCGCGGGCGCGTGGAGAACGTAATCGAATAGGGATACATCTCGCAGGCGAAAGGCCATCGGCGTCGAAACGTCGCTGCCGCGGCGCTTCGTTTTACGCCTCGGCGCGCTGCTCCAGCTCGGGTTAATTCCGAGTCACTTCGATATATGTATATATGTATGTATGTGTATATATATATATATATATATATATATATTTATACATAAAGAGAGAAAGGAGCATGTGTATATATGTAAAAGGAAGGAGCTCGGATCTATCGATTATATATTCATCCGTTCTCACAGCGAGAGCTGATACAACCCTATCATAACTAAACCTCTCGATGCGATATTTGACAATTGTATTCGCTTCTTATTATTCTTATCTAATATTTTTAATTTCCTTTGTTCATATCTATTGATTAATATCTTTTTCGCTTTCTTAAATCATATTTAACCGCATCATTTTTTATTTTTCTCTTCTTCGTCTTTTTAATCCTGAGGGTGCCTAGCGGTCAGGGAAATCTGAAAAACCGAGAATTGTCAGAGAATTTTATAAATCTGGAATTGTCAGGAAATTTTACTATTTATCTGGATTTTTCACATCATTCTACATTTGTCTCAATAATTTGAAATTTTTTATTAAATAAATATAAACTTTTCCTTGACTCCCAGCACGCAAAATTTTCTGTGTTGTTAAAAATCGATTCATCTACAGCGTGTTCGTTAATTTATATTTTCATCGTCGTGTTATTTTATTTCAACGTGTTTAATAGAAACAAAACAAAAAAAATTTGATATAAATAAAAAGGTGATTATTATAAGTCAGGGAATTTTTTTC